CAGTGATAATTAATAAAGGTTGGAGGTTTAACCCGTGATGAGAAAAGAAAAATTTATCTCTTAACTACATCTAATGTATAATCATGTGCCACGTGCGTAGGCCTAAATACCTCATAACAGATACGGGCCTAAACTGAGTGTAGGAAAAGCTACTTAATATCCGTTGTAATAGCAGCAACCTATTTCCTCAACGTCGCATGGTGTCCGCATATCCGGAGCACGAGCGCTGTAAAGCCGACTGACTGCCCGCATAGCGGTGGGGCCATTGCTGAGGGCAGGTTAAAGTGATAAAATGCCCACCAGATATTAATTTTATCACAAAATCATATGAACGCTTCTGTGTAATGTAAACGTCACTCCTACAATACTAACTGTTCTCGCGTAGTTATTGTTGGTAGTGTTTGAAATTAAAGAAATAATTGATTTTCAAGTTACTGATTGAAGTTAAAAGAGAAAAAACAGATTTTTATTCAAAGCAGATAAAGTTCACACTTGAGGCAGATTTTAAATTGTTTCGGTATTACATTTCCGATATGTACACATGTTAAACTACATTCCACAGAAACATAGTTAAAGAAAAGACACTGTTAAGCTTATTTTGTAAGATTTGAGGTCTTCACAGCCATGAGTATGAAGATTTCTGTCTTCTGGGTCATTGCGCTGTGTAGTCTGGTCGATGTTTACCAACGTTTCAGAGGTCATACTGCCTCCGTCATCAGGGCGATGAATATTCATCGCCCTGATGACGGAGGCATTTTAAACTCTGATCGCAACTTAATTTTTAATGATACGCGTATTAAACCGAATGTAAACTAAACCCCATTGTAAGCATAATCGACCTCTTCTCACCTGGTTTTGATCTATGTATACAGGAAAAAATGTTGTAAAAGCCCAGCCTATGTGTGCCCTAAACTTACATTATCGTCACTTTATTATTTATGCAGACGTTATTCCCATTCGTGTATTAAGATGTTCACTTTATCCATTTATGTATCTATTTACTTGTTTACATGCTGCAAATATATCTACTAGGTTCTATAAAAACTATTGTGCCTATGTTAGTTAAGAGGATCTCTTGTCACTGGGGCACAGAGGTTACTCAGCTCGTGCGTGGATGAGACGGGCCCCAGATAGGCCTATGACAAATACTTATAAATTCGTAGCCACAGACAGCCGACAAGGGGGTCCTCCAGCTTCTAGCCATAAAACTTCATGTTTCAATGCGTCAAAGAGGGCCTCGGACATGGACAGAGACGATTGGTGATAATAAACATTTGGGCTCTACAAACGACGGGGAACTTCTTGCCTAACTAGGCGACCATCAGCTTTTCAAGAAGACCTTATTTGATATTTCTTTGACTTGTAATGAAACGGGTGCATGTTATTAAAAGCTAACTCCATAACTCAACTGTTGTCATTTGTTTATAACGCAATTAACACTATGCAAAATTGTGTTGTTCCTTTCTGCACTGCAGCAAGTTATGAAAATTGTTTAAATAATTCACTGCGGTAATGTTCAAATTCCTTGGCACACTGATTTCCCTAGCCATGAAACAATTCGAGAAACAAACAAAAAATGTCATTTTGTCTCTAGCGAGAAATGGTGACAAACATTTTCGAAATACCTAGCATTACGTTAAATAAGTCCATAATCGAGAAATCTGAAAAAGTCTCCTATTTATAAACTATTATTATTACTATTACTGAGTTTATTGTTGATTATAATACCACCTACTAAGCCGATTACAGCAGTTTGCAGCAAAGACGTAAACTTTATCAATGGATCGGACGTAGGATCCTACCTGAGTAGGTCTACAGACGGAAAACTGTAATTATTTATTTTATAGAGTCGGAATATCTTCAAATTTTAATTTTTTAACCTTAAATTCAACTGCGTACTAGCACTTCAGTTTTTAATCAATAAACTGTACAAGCGGAGAGATCTGCAAGTCGGGGTTTACATTAAAAACAAATTACACAATCAGATCTTACATTTCTCACTGGTTCATAAACGTAGCAAATACTTAAATCACCAGAAGCCATTTAAAATGTATTAAACGTCAATAATAATTTAGTTAGTGATCGCATTTACATGAATATGTTGTTGGATAAATATTGTAGACAGACATATAATTTAAATTAGGCCAATATTTAGTCGGTGTTATTTTTATTTAAATATTTAACATCATTAAATTCATAAGATGACGTAAATGCTCTTACGCTCGAGGCATTGAAATTACGTTCGCTGATGTCTGTATCGTGGTGTCCAGTGTTGGAATAGGTCTTGCGATAGACCGAGCCTTGCAAACGGAGTTCTACCAAATATTTAAATATTCTGGCCGCTTGTAAGACAATTTAGTTAAGTGATGTGTCATACAAATAATTTGATAGATTATCGCACACAGTCGTTGATAAACTGAAATCTGACGTTCGTAATAAATTTGAATAATACATCTGGTGTAACTGGGGAAAAACCATTGCAATGGTAATGACATCTTTAAAACATTATCGCACTGACTTTCACTTTTTTTTTCAGCCTTATGTATTTTGATTGGCTCTGATCCACGGTTAATACCTTCCACCAAAAACACTTGGCCTTTCGTTCAGACGACAAGTACCCATCATATCACCTGGACGAATATGTCCTTAACAACACGACGATACTGGATCTGATACGGGTTTGAGTCCCATGGTTAAGAATAATGAGTTCTGATATCAGCTAGTGGAACAAAGCGAACGACCTAGCCAATTCGCGTTTAAGGACTGGTGCAAGAACGTCCTTCACACAAATATCCTTCAAATCTATGTTTATTTTCCAATAAAACACCATTGGACCTAGACCTCCCCATCTAAGCAACTTCAACTTCGGAAAATTACTGTTGTTCAACTGGGACAATTTGACGGCTGCCGGACTTTCGAACTTTCCGGTTGTGTCCGTACATCTCTGATAAATCTCAGTAGCTGAAATAACCTTACTGTACAAAAGATACAGGTAGACCTACAAATTCAATTGATAGGTCTATATTACACATTTGTTTTCAAGTACGTAGGCCTAATATATTTAAATTAGATATACATCTGTTTTGTCTGCTTTTACAGTAAAATGCGATCAGAAATTTTTCTATTTCAACTCGATTTAGAGTATCTTATGTCAGCGCGTGCACATAAGCCGGTTTATACTTCAAACATCGGATAGCAACAATTCTTACATCAAACATTTTTATTAATTTTCCGCTGCAGTTAAGTGCGACTTCAGAAATGTATGTGGCAGGCCTGTCTTTTGTAGAACATGTGATCACTGTACTCATTGCGTAAAACATTTAAATTGTGTTGTGGCCTGTGCCAAAATCATAGCATATTCAAAACAGTTGACGTTATAATAACGTAAAAAATTTGTATTGACAACTGTAGTCTTTATTCAGACCTACCTTTCTGCTCAATTTCTGGGGCACGATTTATGCCTTCAATAAAATTAAGATTCACGCATGAAATTGAACTGAAAATATAGGCTTATTAACCAGTTAAGTTTTAGCGGTAGGCTACGTGTATTCAGGCCCTGACGTTCAACAACTCGGAACGCAGGCCATCATAGATTTCATTTTCGTTCTCAAAATAAAGAGAAAAACTTTTCTTAAGCGTCCTTAGAATTTTGTAGTTTTTAACCCAAACAGGTAGAATAGATACAAACTGAAATAAAATTACAAGCCTAAGGTCTAATTTTAAAACAACTGTGCAGTCTACTTCAATTAGAAAATAAAATCAATTAATTTAATTCATCTAAAACTGAAAATAAGATTGCTTAAGCTTATCATTAAGCCTATTTGAAACTCATTTATAAGCGTATCAGGCCTAATCTCACAAAAAAAATTAAGTTAAATAGTTAATGAGAATTGCGTAGGCTAAGTCTTTAGCATTTCCCAAAAAAACACATCAAATCATTACTTTTATTCCCGTCAAAAGACCCTAGAAAAATGAAGTCTTCACGCTGTGTTCAGTGAAGATTCTTTTTTTAAACAATAGAGAATAAGATTCATAGGCACACGGTTTACAGGACACGACAAATCAGCTTTTGTACGTAGTGCATGTGTTCAGGAGTTAAACTGAGGTCACCTGCAGTCAACGACACGCGACTTCCCCGCGAAGCTCATGTTTCAATGTTGAATTCCTTAAACAACACGGGCTTTTGTACAAACTATCTCATTTTAACATTCAAAAATAATTAGCAACGCTACATAATTTCACAATAATCAGACAACATTAAAGTTAAAATTCCATTTCTTTCAATGTCTTTAGGCGTAAAGACGATATTTACGGATTTGTCCCATCTTCAGAAATCACCATTTGTGGCTTTAGACTACCGCCTTTGACCTCTAATAGACTATAAAGTCTATTAGGCTTGAAGTAAGTTGATTAATCTGCACGCACAATACAGGCCTAGTTTACATTTTACATCAAACGAGGCCTGACTGCAAAATTTAGTTTGCGTCTGAACCATAATAATACGTCAAACGAGGCCTGACTGCACAATTTAGTTTGCGTCTGAACCATAATAAAACATAACCCAATTTAACTATTTTTGTCAGTGATTTTAGAGCGTTATGAGACGAGGACCACTTAACATTTTATATGATGGACGATGGATAAATTCAGAATAAAAATAATTACGTGGACTTTTCAATGGCCTAGCGGACTTTACAGAGTTGGGACTCCGTAGGCGGACAGAGGATTGTACGCTCTCTCAGAATGTGATTCCTTCTCCATCTTCAGGTAAGGAACGGTTACCACCTGTGTAGGATCCTTTATAAAATCTATTTCTTACCATTACACCTCACAGAGTAGTCATTTTTCTTGTAATTTATGAGTTGGTGGTAAAACCCCATAGACCTCTATACATTTACTTACATAACGAAAAAAATGTCTTAATAAGACTCTCCCATAGCGGACGAGATGAAGACACTCAAAGCGCTGTTTTCCACTCTCACTGTTTTTTTTACACTTACCCAGCGTTGGCAAACCGACGGTGTGCTGAGCTGACGTCGCCGATGTAGGGACGCAGGTACTTCGCCTCTCAGCACGCGGCCCGCGAGCCATAATCGCTGCTATCGAGAAGTCCGTAGCTCTCGTCTTCACTGTGGGTACAAGGAGCATCGCAGCGCCCGGCCCATTCTCTTGCATTGTCCCCAGTAACATTCCTAAACACACGCCACAAGACACCGTGGCCCAGTTCTACCCACAGCACGGGCCCGCCATCACAAGCTCGTGGTTAACAGCGAAGCACTCTCGCACTGACTAACCTCTCTCCACACCCTGCGCGCTGCCAGCGATCGCCGCCAGATGGCAGGCTCTTCGCACCAGGAGCCCCCAAGAAGGGGCGGAGTTAGGAGGCGCAGAACTGATTGACAAATTACGTGGTGGGGGAAATGATATCACATTGGAGGGGGGGACAGAAGTAATTTACGTCACGAAACGTATGGGGCGTGGTTTAGAAGCGTAGGCTAGGCGGTGTTATTGGTGGCAGTCGCGCATCTGAAGGAGGGGTATCAGATGTTGAATTTGGCTCAGTGAAGTGTACAATCAAACAGCCCTGCGGTCCAAGGGACAAAGGAATAGATGGAGGGAAAGGGGGGGGGGGTCTTTAGCACTAGGCCATGTGTGTGGTCTGACAAAAAGGGGCCCCTTTCAGGCATCTTTAAACTGGTCTGAACGATTAGTAGCAAGGTCACTTCCGAACAGAAGTCATCGCATTCGGAGAGGTGTTAATATTGCTCGTACTCTCAACTTTTACCATTCCTTTTCGTGTTTTGATCTGTCTCTCGTACGTACGAGACTTTGATTCGATAAATGAAACGATCTTCTGACACATCATTCCATGTCATTTACTGGGGGATACTGGGAACGATCCGTTCTTCAAGTGCCTGAGCACTGCGGGTCCAAACTTATCGTTAGCTCGATCTGTAGACATTTTGGTAGGACTCCTTGGATGAGAGATCGGCCCTTCTCAAGGCCTCTACCTGTACACAGGACAGCACAACACAGAAAAACATCCATGGCTTGAGTGGGATTCGAACCCACGGTCCCAGCGACCGCGAGGCCACTGCGGACCCCATGTCAAGTACCAATGTTCCTAAATGGTTCTTAATTCACAGAGAAAACGTTTGTTTTCCACAAAATAGAAATAAGAGTACCTATTTCTTGTTATGGCGTGGGACCTGAGTCAACTCGCACGGCCACAGAGAGAATTCTAAATAGTTTCTAAATCATTTATCTTTAATAGGCTTCTATGAGCCTGAACAGAGCTTTCGGGAGATAAAATTGCGTATTTCAGACCAGTAAAGGCCTTCAAGGAGTTGGCCCGTCCGCTTGTCCAGTGTTCAAGAGACTTCTTTTCGATCTCTCTACGCCTCTAGAGGCCTAGGCTAAATCTAAGTAACCTATATTGAGTACCTCAGTCTTTATTTGTCATTTTTGAGCCTAATACCATAGTCTTACGCATGTGTGTTCATACAGACTTCAGACCAAACTAGGCATTTCCATTGCTTTATAAATTTATTTTTCTTATTCTATAACATTTATCCTTTTTTTTCATTTTTTTACTCAGAGCTGCCGAAATCTTTAAATGTAATGTAAATTATTTTATCTTAATTATAAAAATAAGACAGGCCTATAGGCTTGTACGATCCACATATTAAAATTAAGGCCTAAATAGACCTAGTTAGCATATAATCTTATTTTATTAATCTCGTACAGATTTTTTTTTTACAAATATAGACTCGAATTTTAGATCAATCATCAATGACGAAATTGAAAGGATTCAAAAT